AAAGAACATAAGGATTTTAAAATGTTTAAGAAGCTTTTTTTAAAATTAAATTACAATGCAGAGCCCCCCGGACAGGTGGCCAGGACCTGGCCAGCGTGAGCGCCACTGAAAATCAGCTCGCGTGCCGCCTTTGGCACGCGGGCCATAGGTTGCCTACCCCTGTATTAGATCCAATGTGTTCCTTGAATCCAATAGTTCTGTGATTCATTCAAAAAGAACGATGTTTGTCTAGGATGATGTATATTTTAAATCCCCATTCTATTTACTACTCACAGTACTGATGTCTCTGAGCACGGACTACAGCATATCTTTCTCCTTACTATTAATTCCATGATATTATTAAGGGTTTAAATTACACTTACTGGACAGTAATTGCTCTTTTCCATCTTTTAAAATCTCCTTACCACCTCTGTTTGCTTTTTTCCCATTACTTTGATATCACCCGAGTCTCCATGGCAATTTGTTTTGGTCATCATTTCTAAATCGACATTCATATAATATGAAAGTCTTGGAAATTTTTAAAAAAAAATCTCTTCACAAATTGTCTATAAAATCAAAGAACTTGATCCTACTCCCATTGAAGTCAATGACAAAACACCCTGTGACTTCAGTGGGAGAAGATTAGAACCGTAAAATCACATGACACATTTCAGAGGGTTCTTTTCCATCTTATCCTGGGGAAGTTTGTGGTTTATACCAGAGGACAGCAGTGAAGCCCCAAAAGCACAGTAGTCATATACGGCACAGACACTTACTTTGTCTATCTGAGCCAGGTAGAAATCAATGAAATCCTGTGGTTCGTCAGGTGACCCACTCTCTTGGTGGCTTCTGATCTCCTTCCTTGCAAAAGACCGGACAAATTCTTGGCAATAGAATACCTTCTGGTGAGTACCTGGGAGATGATCCATGAGCCAGGGGAAAACATCATACAGCTGTAAGAGAGGCAAAAGTGTGATGCGCTCTCCCACCAACAAAATAAACCCACCCCCAACGAGAAGCGGGGCGAGGGGGTTTCACACCCCTGAACGACAAAAGATTTACAGACGAAAGTGCAGCGTAGACAGAGCCTAAGATTCCATGTACATCAGCCCTCATGAACTGTATAATACGTAGTAAATTCCTCAATACAGAGATCTCACTTCCTTCTTTGCTGGGTGAGAAACCTCGCTTTGCTTTGGATACAGATAAAATAACAAGCGCTTGTGTCAGGGTTCCCTCCCCACTCTAAACTTTAGGGTACAGATGTGGGGACCCGCATGAAAGACCCCCTAAGCTTATTTCTACCAGCTTAGGTTAAAAACTTCCCCAAGGCACAAATTCTTCCTTGCCCTTGGACGGTATGCTGCCACCACCAAGTGAGTTAGACAAAGATTTAGGAAAAAGACCACTTGGAGTTCCTGTTTCCCCAAAATATCCCCCCAAGGCCCTTCACCCCCTCTTCTGGGGAGGCTTGAGAGTAACCAAGGTGAGCACAGACCAGACCTTTGGGTTTGTAGGACACTAAAAACCCCAATCAGATTCTTAAAAATAGAA